CATGTGGCCCCCCTAATAAATATGTGCAATAGTAGTAGGTGGGCCATGCCTTCGGCATGTGGCCCCCCTAATAAATATGTGCAATAGTAGTAGGTGGGCCATGCCTTCGGCATGTGGCCCCCCTAATAAGATATTTCAATGTCTTGTTGTTCATCTTTCTTTCCATGTCTTTCTATGCTTACTATTTTTTATATGCATATTATTTGCAATAATTCACATTTGCTTTCTTGTTTTCCTTAAAAAGTAGGATACAAGTCCAAGATGCAAAAAAAATTGTATAGTTGTAAACTTTTCTTTTCCACTTGAACATATTATACCATCATTGAAAAGGTTTCAACATTTCAACATAGAAGTTTTTATTGAATGTTTTAAAACACAGGAAAAAGTTTATGTAAATGTATTTACATTCGTTTTCTTTCTTTGTGTGGTTATAGTGCACAAAACATTTTAAATGCAATTATCTGCCAATTTAACAAGCGTTCATAAAAATTTGGCTTCATCATTAGCCCTGCCATAATGTAACATGCAAGAATTACTTCAGCGATCTTTTCCATAGGTCACAGGGAAAGTGTTAACAAGAACCGGAAAGCTGATATCCACTCCATTATTCTAACTGAACTAGAGGAGCCGTTTTTTTTTCAAATACGACAAGTTCTTAGTTCTTAGGGATTATTCCTTTTTGTAAACCATGGTTGCATCCAAGGAAACCAGTGCCATCATAGTGACCTTGCATTAAAGAGGAATAAAGCTTCGGGTCAGCCAAGAAAGTCCACAAAGTGCCAGGACTGTCTTGATTGGAATTCTAATTGTTCATTGCTTGCAAAGGAACAGCAGCAGTCAAGTTTTGTGTGTCCAAATGCAAAAAAAGTAAATAGTTTACTTTTGTCCAAGTAAAACCTTTAAAACAGACTGACATTGTGCAGGAAGCATCATTGGTCTGCAGGAGGTTGTTGTTTTTAGTTGTTTTTTTTCCCCTTGAAGCTTTATACTATTTGGGACATCTGGGGAAAAAATCCTTAGGGATAAATAAAAGATTAAATCTTGTCTCTTGTCCAAGGAAATGCTCTCACAACCCTTTCTTTATTAAAATGTGTTGTTAATAAATAATTATATTAAACCCCTTTTCAGCTGCACTGTAGCACAGTGAATCAGGAACAAATTAGCAAACAACGGTGCTTTTTCCAGCATAATGGAACACTTTGACATAGATTACGTGACAACTTTTAAGTATAAAAAAAAAAAAAAGCCCACTATCAGTCATATTTAGCTAAGGAGATTATATCCAGTGTGATCTGGAAAAGTGTTAAAGTTTTACATCAGAACTATCTGAAGCCATAGGTCAGAGAAAAGATGGACTTCTGCCAGATCAGGGTCAGATTATATCTCAAACAGGGAGTCCAGGAGCCTTGGTGTATTGTTGACTGTCTGTTCTGTAGTTAACCACAGGCTTCTTTGGCTTGTTTGGTGAAAAAAAAAAAACACAAAGAAAATATTTCAATTTATAACATTATTTGTGCTAAACCACACCTGCGTCAGATTATATGAATTATGACAGAAAGATCTAGATCCTGAAACGACTGATTTGAGCTCCTTCTGTAGCATTTAACTGGATTTGCCGTGGAATAGGGTGACAATCTCAGTTATCTCAGGGGACCTTGAAGTAGAGCTACGTCTCTTTAAAGATCAAAAGAAATCAGCTAGGGTTGTTAGGGTATTTGATGAGAATGCCACATGGGTGAGTCCCTTTCCTGCCATCTCTTACTGGGAGGAGAACCTGGAGTAAACACAGAAGTCTGAACTGACAGAAATGTTCCGCTTTTAGCATGGAAATGCCTGTGTTGTGTTGCAGAGAGTGGCAGGGGAGAGGAATATTGGGGTAGGGCTCCTTGACCTGTTATGTTTGAAAACCTGACTTGGATAGATGAAAGATGGGGCACACTCCTGCCTGTTTTTGAGACATAAAAAAATATCTGAAGCGTCTTGGCTGTTAACTTTAATCCGTGAGTAGTTTGCTTTATCCAGCCTCTGCTACGTCTTGGGAGGCAATTAATAGGCAATGACACCAATAAGAGCGAGCACATAAGAGATGAAAAGAATCGGCTTCAAACAGAAGGAGTGGAAAGTTTAATGATATGCAACACAACAAAGGGAACAAAATGGAATTTAACAATGTGATAAGGCAGGGGAAGACTGAGAAAGCTACTGAAGTGTGGGTTTGTGCTGCAGCAGGTATGATTTGAGTGTAAATCATTATGCTTTGGTATTTTTATTTGGTTTGAAGTGGTTATTTACATGCTCGTGTATAAAAAGGAGAAATAAAAGCAGAATAGAAGCTATGTTAAGGGTACATCTGGAGAATAAGAGCCTGGGGAGGTCTAGGAGAGAGTGGTGTGAGGCAATGAGGAAAAGAGTAGAAAACATAATGAAAAGAAAACAGTAAGTGAAAAGGATGAAAGAATGTACAGCAAGATAAAAAAAAATCTAGTTGAGGGTTAAATTATTAATCAAAGGAATGAAACTATCACCCCTGATAAGCCTGATCACCCATTCAGCTCTGATGAACCAATCAGCACTAGAGGAGGAGATGGAGACTAAAATTCAGTGGAATTCTGAGGAAAAAAAGACAGAAGATGAAAACCAAAGAAGCAGAACAGAACAAGTAATGACCTTCATAAACAGCTACAGGGATGTTACCCTTGAACTGGTTTTCTTTTAACATGCTGTTTTTTTTTTACATTCAAAGTAAATGTAAGAAACTGATTTCTAATTATGATCAACATGAATTTAATCGCTGAAAACCGGGTAAGAAAATGCCTTTAAGGTTTGACTTCATGCTTTTTTAACCCTCCCAACGTCAACTCAAGGCACGCATATCAGGAAATATTGCCTTTAAATTACAGGTATTCATTATTTTATGGGATATTATTTTCTTTCAGCCAATTAGAAAGGGATTTTTCTCACAGTGATCTGCCTTCAACTGCATTGCTCCATAGCTGCTGTAGCATGGTAACAACTCCCCTAGAGATTAGACTGTTATTTAGGTAGAATAAACAGGTAGAATAAACAAATAAACATTTTACAGCCCTGAAAAATTCTGCAACTTTGCAGTAGCTAAGAAAAGTTTCTGCCTGGTGCTAAAAGACTCACTTCGTCTAGAGTTTGGGGAGTAAAGCTTAAAGGTATAGTGGAGGATGTTCTTTTTCTGGGTGGATCATCAAAATAAGAGGTCATCCTATTTGTCAGTCATCTGGTGACATGCTTACATAAGGCTGTCCCACGTGCTCGTCCCCTTTTTCACTTACTGGTGGTGAGCCTGACATAATGGAAAAATTGCAAATCTTCTTTTTGAAAGCAAGCTTGTATGAGCGATGCAAACAGCAACTTTTAAACAGAGCGTGCACGACGAGAAATGGGCTTGTGCACGTTTAATAGGCGTTCCCTCTCGGAAAAGTGGAAAGGGCGGTTCTTTTCAAAAATTCACGGAAATCCTCCACTATACCTTTAAGCTTGAAGTCACATTACCAGAATAATATTATATTGCTCAGAAAAAGTTGATTTTGCATGCTGTAGGTTTTTTAAACTCTTTTTCTTAATTTTTTGTTTTCATCATCTGGTTTTCTTGTAACTATTTTGAAGTGGTACTGATCAATATTTTTTCTTTGCTTTTGCCTTTACTGAAAGTCATTTAAAGTTTTTTTTTTTTACTTAGGATTTTATTTTCTTTCTTTTTAATCTGATATCTGGCTGAGAGTTGTTTTTGTTTGGTAGCTACAAGACCCTAAGCACAAAATGACTGGAACTCACAAAATGATATAGTGTGGTTTTGATACATACAAGATACCAATTTAAATTGGGATATCTGTCCTTAAGAGCCTGTCTCAAAGCATGATTTGCTTTAGCTTCTTTAGCTGAATTTGTGAAAATTTGCAAGAAGAACACAGTCTGATCACAGCGTATACACAGAGTATATAAAAACTGAGTACCGTACATAAATACTCTGCTTCCGACTATACCTCTTTACACATAAAACTGTTATTACAGCACAAATCAATGCCTTTGGTTTATTCTGAATTTGTGCAGAATCCCATTGCATGGATATGTTTTAATCACACAGTTCTTCTACAGTATCCCTGCAAAGAAATACCCTGGTATTACCATATTAATTTGTACATTTTGTTTTAAAGCATCAAAATCTCAATCAGCTTGGCTCTGTCAGCAGCATGAAAGCACAGGTGTTAAGAAAAGCTTTAGAGCAAGAAAATATCAGCCCAACTATGCGACACTCTGACCTATTTAAACAAGAGGACAGATGATTTTGGAAAATAAGTTTCTTATTTTTAAGCCTGGTGCTTTTAAAAAACTTAATGCTGCTGCTGCTTCTGGTCAAAAATTCCTCTGTGTGATAAAATATGGTTCAGAACAGTCAAGAAAATCAGAAAAACAAGCAAAAGAACAAAACTGTTTTTTTTTGTTTTGTTTTTTTGTTTTATTATCCACTATCATATCAGTTCCCTCTGATAGGGATGTGGTATTCAAACGTTCATAAATTATTTTCGCTGTTTGCCAAAGGTGCATTAAAAAGATTATTTCATTAACTTCATGGTGGCCACTGTGATGAGGTAAAAGTGTTTTACCGAGGCCCTTTAGTGCGAACCACATCAATAAATCTTTAAACACAACTACAAATTAAAAAACGACAGAACGTAATAAAAAACACACAAGCATATTCAGAAACAAAGCAACATTTTCACGATGACATTAACCAGCCAGACGAGGTAGATATTATTGGGAAACCTGAGACATCGTTGATTGGATGACAGGCTTTTAAATTGGAAGTCAGTCTGCCTTTTCTGTTCTAATGTTTAATGAGTAAGTATAAGCAGAATGAATTCCAGCTTAAAAGCCAAACGCTGCCATTGTGCAATCAATGAGTTCTCATGTTAATGACGTGATTCTGGAAATGTTGCATCTTTGAATAAGTTGTGTTTTCTAAATATGTTGTTACGTTTTTTTTTTCAAAATTTGGAGTTGTGATTAATGATTTGTTGATGTGGTTCGCACTTAAGGTCCACCGTACGTTTTTGCATGAAACAACAGTTTTCAGACCTGTAGGGCGTGAGGATGTTAAGAGGAGGCGGCTCCTCGCAGGTCTGGAGGCTTTCCTGCAGAGGGACCGGGAGGGATGAGCGGTCAAACAGCTGCTGGTCCTGAATGGTAGAACTCCTGAAGGCCTTCCTCATGGTGATGTCCTGAAGAGACACTGTGGGGGGACAAGACAAATTAGGACACTTGTTAGACAAAGAAAAAAAGGACTTTTGCTTATTACATCAAGTTTCTGCTTAAGCCTTTTATGTAGATTTGTTAACTTTTTGACCAGCAGAAACCTCAGCGATGGTCTTGTATTAGTTGGTTCTAACTATTAAACATAATCATCACTTGAACTGACAAAGCACAAATGTGTGTCATAAAGTACTCATCCTCCATCCTTCGCGTTTACACCAGATTTTGAGTTTGAATTAATTTTCCCTTTAAGGAAACCCAAATGTCATGACTAAAGTAAGCTAAATACAGTATTTTCCCCCTTATGGCAGGTAGATGTAAGTGAGTGAGTGAATAAAAGAGATATAAAAAATAGAAAAAAGAGAAAAAGAGAGAAAGAGAAAGTAAGGAAGACTTTTACTTTTTAAAAAGTCATTTATTCACTCAGTAATAAACACTCATCTTAACTCAACTGATTCATAAGTAAACCTTCATTATTTAAAATGAACCGAATAATCTCACGATCCCCAACATTTTTTATAAACATCCAACTCAACCATTTAGAAATATTATTTATATTCTGACATTATTCTTGCTCTAATCATTTAGTATTTTGCTTATCTTTCCAGCTCAAATTGCCAACTTGTCTTGACCAAGTGAAAGATTTAACAGCTGTCCTTTTTTCTTCTTTCTTTTGTGATGTGGAAATCCCAAAATAAAAGGCTGCTCTGTAAAACTTTCTCCAAAAAATTTCCAAATTACACCAAGTAATATGAATCAAATCCATAATTTGAAAGCATTGTACAAAACAATGAAAATGGTTTCTTGTAGAGCAAAAAAAATGGACATTTATCTGAAAGGAAGAGAGAAAGAAATGAGGAGAGAAAGAGAGAGAGAGAAAAGAAAAAGAACAATTACATTTCTTGAAAAAAAAAATCAAGTAGGAAAAACTTCCCAGCAGAGCAGAAAAATCTCCCTACCAATGCCAACTTTTAACGTGGAAAGCTAAGTCTTGGGGGAAACGTTGCGACCAGATGTGAATTATACATGAGGATGAGACAAATAGACACTGCAGCCCAGGGGAGGACAGAAAAAGTGACGCAGCCCTAGAATCATTCTGTTAGTCCCCTGTTATTAGCAGGCTAACATTGAAGAGTGACAACATTAATTTAAAGACCAAAATAAACAGGCTTTTACCACACAGGAACTAACAGTAAGCCTAAGAACTCTTTCACAGCTTTTCTTTTCCTATTATATTGCAATTATATGCATAAAATCAATAAAAAGGAGACTATAGGGGTGGGATGATGGTAAAATTTTCTTAAAATAAAATCTTTTGTGTAAATGTATGTATCCAACCCTGCAGCAGCCTCAGAGATCTAAAGCTCTGGTGAAAAAGAATTGTTGATATGAAAAAACCCATGAACTTCACAAATCGAACCTCTACAAGACAAGGATAAAGACAACTGAAAGAATGGCATAAAAGTGCATTTTTAAGGTTTTCCCAATCCATGTAGGTGACACGGAAAGCGTGAAAGAAGATGCTCACATGATGTAACCTAAACCAAAGAAAATTCATTCAAAAATCAACTGTGCTGGACTTTAAAGTTGATACCGAGACAAATGTCCTTCTCTGTCTATGTTTTTAAGCTGCAATCATGGTACAGATGTGCCCCGAAAGACTTAAAAGCTGAAGCTCCAATTATTGTGGACCTGAATAAAAATGCATGCCAAAATACTTCTGTGTAAAAAAAAAAAAAAAGTAGAAAAAAAAAGAGAAAAGTAAAAATACATTTGTTTCTATATTGTGAAAAATTATATACTTAAATAGGAGTACATGTATTTTCAAGGCACTGTATACAGCAGGCCAAGACATCCAGCTGGATAATCACTTCCACAGACTGAAGGCAGTAAATGATCCACCACCTGAAGCCCTACCATCAACAATTTCAGAAAACCAAGGTTTGAAACGCAGCAAACAGAAAGCTTTTAAAAAATGGGAACAGAATCATGCAAAAGGTGAGAAGATATCAAAAATGTGTCAGAAGGACAAAGAAAAAAACAACACAGAAACCAAATTACAACAAGTCCTGGAGTAGTGTATAAAAGGATATAATTTCACTAACAAAAAGAGTAAGGAATGAGCTTCCCGACTGCATCGGGCTAAAAGACCTATTGAGTATGAAAAACTAACATGCAGAGGAAAACAACTACAAGATTATGGGTTTCATATCTGCACATGGATGTAACACTTATTAGAAGTATAGGTGAATGAGGCTGGAGCTGATTTTCTTTTTCAAGAAGGTGAGAAGACTAAAAGAGAAGCATAAATCAGGGAATTGCATAATGAGGTATCCTAAAAAAGTCCCAGTTTCTAGCCAGAAATTTCCCAAATGCACAGTCGGAGAGGAGTATGCTTATCTAATGGCAGGATTTTCTCTGATGTGTTATCAATGCTGACCTGATTGTGAAGAAGGTTCTACTTGTGCTCATATTAAACTAAAGGCTAAAATGCACATGCAGAAACAGATGCACATTCCATCAATACACCTGAGCTACCTCTACTAAATCCAGTGTGTTTACCAGCAACTTGAGTCTACATCATAGACAAGTTTCTGTCATGGTAATGAGCAGATTTCAACTGGTAAGTCTTGAGGGAAGAAAGCACAGTGCATGCTGCTCAGATAGATTTAGACACTTCATGGGGCTGTCAGATGGTGCAACAAGTAGGACAAGGAAAGAGCCGGCAAGGAAAGCCGGAGCACAGATCTGTGGAGGATGAGTCTTATGCACAGTGAGGTGGTTATAAATATTTAGAGTCTTATACTGAGCCCTCAGATACATCTACATAACAAAGATGGATGAATTGCAGGATCTACAAAATATCTACAGCTAAAATGTTTTCAGAGAGAAAAGTTTATGAGAAAAGTAAAAATTGGTCATTAAATTTTAGATAGGAGTATCCTAAAGGGGTTTGGGTACATACGTTGAATAAATTAGCTTAATTAGAGACAGTATGCCGAATGTTGGCCAAGGTCTTAAATCCAGAAGCAAAACCTGTGAGCATTTGCTCCGGTTGAGGAAGCGCCAGGTGTTCCAGCAGTCTCTGATTTCAAGATGCCTCTTATCAACGAGCTGTCCCGAACAGTATATTTCTAGCCTTCCTATCTTCCACTTTTAGACAAATACCATCTGGCTGAGACACTTCAGCTACAGTGAGGTGGAGAAGTTTTTGTCACCTACCAACATCCCCAGTTTTAAAAAACAAAAAACTTTGCTGATTTTTTCCCCCTACTGTCCTCTTCCTTTGTATTTCCTATCTCAGACTAGCTGTTCTATTCCCCAAACAACCATTACAGATAAGGAAACTGAAGGCCAACTTTTAGTGTGTAGACACCGCCCTCTCCCAAATTTCCCTCTAATGCAAATGCTGCCCTATATTTTTGCCTGCTACACACTTCCTCCTGCAACCCTGTATTGATTGTCTTCTCCTTGTTTTGACTTTTGCTTTCGTTTTTAAAGGTTGTTGTTTTGTACTAGATACATGAATATTATGTATAGGTTCTGGTATTTGCATTAAAACTCGTTAAAACAGGCTGTGTGCAGCATAATCAGTGTGGCATTTGCAGGCTGGTGAAGAGGTTGAAAAGTATGACAATCTGAATTTCAGATTTATTTGAGTATTTATCCACTAAGAGTTAGCGTTATCAAAGAAAGTGTGATACTAGTGGGTCATCTTAACATTAGTGCCATAGAAAAAAACAGCTTGCTGGTAATAGGCGCCTCTGCGTCGAATATATTTTTTTCTTCTATTTTTTTCAGATGGTGAAAACTGGGAAACAAGCCTGATGGTTGATTAAAAAAAATATTATTTTCAAAAATATAGTGTCTTGATAGTTTGATATGAGAGTACAGATTTTCCTGCTTTTCAAATGTTTATATTCTCACATTTTCTTCCTGTTATAACATCTATCTTATGAATTTTCACATTGTCTTATTTTTTCCTCAACATATTAGACTACCCCATACGTACTTTCAAAACTACTTGAAATAGTCATAAGAAATACTTGCACCTCTGGCAAAGATGTACCAAAGCCTTAACATGGTTTTTGTTGTAGCATAATATCCCTATTTAGGTAACATATACATAGTGTGGATTATCTTTAAATCCTTTATTTCTTCACATTTTCATTGTTATGGTTTACAGATATTTCAAATGGGAAATTTGATTTTTTAGAAAACAAAATGATATATTGTTAAAAGCTTATGTCATACCATAAACAGCTCTAAACAACTGCAAACTTTTCCAAAGCCTTTAATTGGTCTCCAAGCTTGGGTCAGAAGGTTACATTACCAAGAGGAAGACTGCTGACTTGAAAGGTTTCCAGCGGACATTCGCTGACACCCTGTAATCAGGAAGAGTAGCTACAAAAGGCCATTGCTAAAGAAGACGGGTGTTCACAGAGTGCTGCATCTAAACAGTTGTGGAACATTGAGTGGATGAAAAAATGCTGGTAGGTAAAAGGTGCACAGGAAACAGCAATATCTGTAACCTTCCCTGGGAAGTTTGTCAAGCAAAATCCATTCGAAGATTTCAGGGCACTTCACGGGGAAAGGACTGAGGTTGAAGAACTACACATGGGCTCAAAGTGTCTTACCTAAGGAACTGTCTGCATAATTACAATTTTCTCTCTACATGTACTGTTTTAAAAAAATGTAGCCACGAAGAAAAAAATTTGTAAAAGAAAGTTGTGTGCTAAAATGATGTCATTTGCCCGTGCAGACCTCATGGCTTTACATTACTACTTAGCAGTGCCACATGCAGAAAGACTCTGTACAACATAGCATTGATGCATTCATTAATACAAAAAGGTTGAGAACAAAAAAGCTCAACTCGTGCAATATTCTAAGATTTTGAGAAATAAAGATAACTATGATTGTAATCGTATTTTCATGTAATAACAATGCATTCTAAAAAGTAATAATTGCAAATCCCACAAA